GGACTCTTAGACAAAATCTTTGCTAAATTGGCTTTTTGTATATGTAATGTATCATCATGCGTTTTGTTACCATGTAATTTCCAAAGAAGAGTGATTGTGTAGTAGCTGAATGTTCATCCCCTATAGGAAGAATTAAGGCCGCTTCTTAACTTGACTTGACTTACTAACAAAGAACCCAACTTTGGCTCACAGCGGGTCCCAGGCGATGCGACCTGGATCCATTACAGTGCAAATCAGATAATTAGCGGTGTGGACAAGATGGAAAAAAATGGCACAACAAAGAATTCATTATGCATTCGTAAGCCGATTTTTAAATAACTTCCGACCCACTTATAAGCGTCCTGTGGAGCAGTTTGTCGTAAAATCACCGCCTCAATAAAGTCGTACAGTTCGGGTGAAAGGTATTCGTATGCGAGGGCAGCATTCTCGGCCAAGACATCAGCAGCCAAATCGTAGTATTCGTATTTGATATAAAGAAGTAAGAGGTTGGCAAACGTTTCCGGTGGAAATGTTTCTTGCTGTAATAGGAATTGCAATTTTTGAAAACCGGCAGCCGGTTCCGTTTCCATGTTCATTAGGGCCTGGTTGTGCAAAGTAATGTGGTCCAACTCCTCTTCACTACGGGGTGGCATATCCGTCAGCGCTTCAGATGCAGCCGTGGGGTTTTTCAAATTATATTCAATCGCAGCCTGAATGAGCAAAAAGGGATTACAATCAGTAGAATTCACAAATTCATAAATTGAACCACAATAAAGTAAGGTTTCATTGCCCTGTATCAAGCCGAATTCTGATCAACTGATGCTTGAAATTCGGTTAGATTTTAAACTTATGTGCAAACACTCTATGAGAAAAATTAGTCGGCAAATCAAGAATATATACACACACATTTGACTGTTGATCTGTGGTATACCAATTGTCCCAATCATATTCGTTTTCCGCTGCACCCAAACCGAATACGTATCCCCCAAGTAAAAAATGGGACAGCAAATGCAAAACTTTTCTTTAGTTCCAGCAATCACGAACAGTAGCTATGTGAAGTGTGCACAGTTGGTTATGATCTTCAGCCATACCCATTAGAGTTTCCCTAGACAATGGAGAGAAATTAGCTCACCTTTTTCCACCCCCAACTTGTTTATGCTCACCGTCACACATGGGCTAAAATTAATGACTTCTCGTTCAACTTTGCCTACTATCCAGTAAGGAAACCCTTAGAGTCTAAAGAACAGGTCTAAAGGCCAAACACGATAAACAAATACCCGTTGTTCCGGGTTTTACTGATGTACAGTATCAGTTCAATTCGAACGCCACCGTCGTGAGTGCTATAGAACTTCTGAGGTACATGAAGGAATAATTCACATTCAGCTGGTTGCCATCTACAATGGTATGTCTTCCTTTCATCCTTAGGAGTGCTTGGCTGGCAGTTGCCAACTTGAGACAAATCTGGCGCCACCACCAAATCCGACTGATTGCGAAAGGTGTAATGTTTTCTAGCGGCAGTTCGTTTGATGTATGATACGAAGACTTGACCGTTACGAAAATGGAATAAGAGGAACTAATGGTACTTGAAAACCGTTGTATACGCCACTTTGTAACTTTTTAGTGGGACAACCATATAGGCAATTCCGAGGTTGGATGACGATACTTTCGGTAATCATGGTTGGGCATTGAAGCAAGTGGTAGTACTCCATAGATTGAATAGTTGTGACATGTGTTACTCATGGTAACCGATAGGCTTTTCTGGCGTACAATGCTTGTCGAGGCAGATTAAATGTGGAAGAAGATTGAGGTTGGTCAAACTAAGAGCTGATAGAGCGGGAATGAAAGGTCTTATCAAGGGACTGGGAAAAATAGATCTCCTTAGAGTTTCCTATTGGAGTCCTCGTGACCAACCTTATCAGTCATCAGGTAAACCGATTTATATGACAATTTCATAAACAGGGTCGTCATTGCACCTGCTTATTGTCTACATCAATCTCTGTGTTTTGTCGAACGCATCATCGAGGACCCGATATTGAATACCGCCGACGATAAGTCGCTTAATTGGTTGGCCAATGATCTAAAAGCTTAACTCAACACCCCACACAGCTGAACCATGGAGCTAATTTAAACGCATTGTCCACAATTGAAGCCATAGCAAGACGATTGCCCGAATCTCTGAAGACCGAATGGTTCAAAAAATTCTCCTTCATTCTATACGACTCTAGAGAATCCATCCCCAGGAGCCTCCATTATTGGATATACAAGGACACTGAAGATGCTGTTGCAAAAGAAACGTATTCCGGTGAAATGATGAATCCCGAGAGATCCCCGAAGTTCGTTCGATCGTATCATTGTTGTTCACGTTCGTCGTCAATGTTTACGTCAGTCAACCGTTCGAAAATCTTGTCTTGCTTTCGTTGTGAAAGCACTCACCATTCAGATCAGTGCAAAGAATTTAAGGCGACGAGGGTGGAGAACAGAGCTTACTTTGAAAACGACCTTGGACTGTTTCATCTTTGTGTGAAACTTAACCACAATTTCCCTTGAGCCGGTCAAGGAACACCAGTGTTCTCGACGGGTGCAAAGTACCACCGCCTACTTCACCGTCCCTAAAAATTAGTCCACTTGGAAATCTCGATAAATGCAACCTTAACCTCAGACAGTCCAGTAGAGTTGGATTTACTGTCAGTGAGGATTCAAGGCAAAGATGGAATGATAGAAAACAACACGATAATGTATACGGGAGAAAATGGAGAATTCCGGGAGACTAAAGTTCGGCCTAGATCTGCTAGCGCTGATCTACTAGATTTGGTTAACAGGTTTGCACACCCCGAAAATTGTTAGCACTTAATGCCAAATCATTATATAAAACAGAAAACAAAAAATGTGTTCCATCAGGAATATTTTTCTTGTGGATTCTTTCTGGGAAGTATTATACACAGGGAATGCATAGCGTCGAGTCCGGTACAGAAGAGTTCATGCAATCTAAACAACAATTTGATGGGTTTCGGTTCAAGTGTTTGGGCGTCATTACTACCAAATGATGTATGTGACAAGTATGAACATTTGATCAACATGAACAAAATAATTTCATATTCCAGGTTTATTAACTTCAGCTCAGTTCAGTTCTTACAACCATTAACCATGCACTTTTGTGCGCCAGTTTTGGTTTCTGTCTTTTGGTTACCTATTTGGATAAAACAGCAGAATGATGATTAGAATTTTGAGAGCAGATTCAAGTGGAAGATAACGCATTTACATAGACTGACGATACAAAACTAATGAGTAGATGCATGAGCGCCACCTAACCATATCACTCAGTGTCTTTAACCATCGGTGACCATGATCTTGGGGTCCCCAGCCACGGAGCCTAAAGGGACCTATGTGAGCCAGTTTCCTGGTCAGGGTTTCCATACCCTCATGCTAGGTCTTAGTTTGACGTCCCTTGATTTTTTTCCAACTGTCTACCTGTCTCGAAAAACATCGCTCGTCGTGGCAACCTATCTGGTGACATGCATAGCACATATCCCAACCAGCGTAATCTATAGAGGTCGACTACCTACTCCAGTGGACGACCGCGATAACCTAAAATACCTAAGATACCTAACCTAAATTACTAGGAAGATCTTATAGCTAACATAAAGGGGAAATGAGAGTGCAATTTTATTGCACTACTCAGAGTGGCAAGCTTACGACCGGATCTTTTCAAAATATCCAGATTAGTTTTCAACCAGAATGTCTCCACCAAAGCGGTTTCTCGAAGTGCCAGTGTGTTTCCTACACTTCTCACTTCTAGTCCTTCCGTGGTCATCCCAACTCCAAGCTCCGGATGTTCTCGGATGCCACGTTCTATCACATCGGCAATGTGCTTGAGGGATTGCGCGTACTGTTTAGTCTGATAGTAGCACAACGCTATATTGTAAGCAATCGTGGGTTGAAAACCCAGTGTCTGACATGGACAGGCACAATAAAGGGAACTGATAAGTTAATTAAATTTTAACAGCATTCTCAACAATTTGTACATACGTGGGACATTATACTCTAGTTATTCAATGTAAAAAGATCGATGACAGAATTCTTCCTTAGTTTCTGTAATCATTGGAGCTCTACCTTAATGATTTGTATTTCCTATTGTACATTTTTCCAAGTTTTTTCTTCTTACAAACTTGTTAGAATAAAAGCAGGAGTGAACTCCATGCCCGTTTTGCCCCATACTTTACTGGTAAGAACCGGCTACCTATGCCTGTTGACGTAGAGCGTCAAATTAAATAAAGCCCAATTAGCCCAATAAAGCCATAGGACACTGAAGCTNATTTGGTTTCTGGTGTCAGGGTTCCCGTTTGACAGTAAACAGATTAGTTCACCTAAATTTACGTCGTTGTATGGTTATAATGGTGATGTTGGTGACAATCAGTGGAATAAATGAAATGAGATATTCTGCTCCAGAAACCGTTGAGTAGTTAAACTTTATTGCTATTCTTGTACATAAATTTTATCGTCCTATCAAGGTTTTGGCCAGAAAGAATATAAGATCAGGCGTGGGGCATACTTAATCGCATCAGCAGTGAACGCACTTCAGAAAGCATCGAAAAACGGTGTACTATGTGATGTTATAATGGAAGAGTGTAGTTGACAAGAATACAGTATCATCAACAAAGGAGCTTCTAAACCTACTTTTCTATTATGGCAGGTGCTCTTTCCCAATGCAGTTTTCAATCGAATGATTATGATAATAATTCACAATCAAATGTCTCAACTTCACTCCCTGTTTGCACGGGCCTGTTTATATTTGCGTCTTTGAGTACATTAGTGATCAAAATCGGGTGTTGGATTCATTCGTTTGTGCCACTCATGTGCATGTGAGGTTATCTGGTGAAGTAGGAACGGGTATGCGGCACCTGATCTTGTTCACAGAACTGCACGCGAAAACACACACATGCAACTAGGCACATTGATAGTGAAATTTCGAAGTAACTATGAACTGAATCATTCGGTTGAAAAGTTGCCGATCACCAGTGGGTTCAGTGGATTCTTACTGTCGATGAGACCCAAGTGGACCGAAACAGTGCTACCTATCTTTTCGTTTCACCCTTCACTTGGTCTATGCAGGACGAATTCCCAGTCTCTGAAAAGCCTGCCAGCGATAACCGAACCGTTGGATTAATATGACCCCTTCCGTGACTGCGTGTTGTCTTTAATATACATTTCTATATCCGTAGCACATTTTACCGAAAAGCGAAAGCTTGATATAAGAATGTAACTCTAATCCCGTTGGAGTGACAAACTGTATTTCAAGAACTGAAAAAATTTGAATGATGCCATTCAGTCTACTCGTGAGTAGTCTGTATTATTTGGCGAAAGAATTCGTTTTTCTCATTTGCAGCATCCTATCTGGCACCTTAATTTTTCATACCTGACTTGCTTGTTGAAAATGTTGGCATGCCTGTTCATAGTTTCCTTCTCTGTATAGCAAGCAACCAAGGTTGACGATTGATTCAGGATCTTCAGAAAGATTCTGTTCAACCAGGTTCCTCGAACCCGATAAATCGCCTTCGCCATAACGAATAGCCGCTTGAAGTTTGATCAACCTCTCGCGGTACTTTGGATTTTCTATCTGAACCGCCATCTGTAAAAGAGAACAGTGGCTGAATGTAGATTTGATTTTATATATCAACTGCTGCATGTCACAACAAGAAATTTTAAGCTTTTATTGTAACAGAACAAACAAAAGAACAAATAATTGTTATGTGAGTTTCTCCGTTGGAGGTTATGGTTAAGTTTGACATGGAAAAGTTGAACTATTTAAAAACATTGATTCACATTTTGTTCTCTAAATTATCTAGTCAAGTAACTTCTCAAAAGAAATCCGCCGTAGACATTTTGTTACATTTGCACCTCGCTGTGCTGATTGCTCATGAACTATGAACTTCTTTGTTTTATTGAATACGATATCCTTGTACATTTCAAATTTCTGCTTATTACAGTTCAATTCTGTTTCTGAGTTGTGTGCTCTGATTTCATCTCGAGTCTTAGTTCTGGTTTGGACTATTACTGCGCGGATTCCGATACGTACACGAATTACTAGTCCGAGTGCTAACTACAACTCTCGCTTCTTACCAAACCGATGATATATATAATGCACATAATCATAATGCGTATATGCCACCAAATAAATCTGAGAGTTGACACTGACATTTACATTTTCGGCCTATAGATTTGAAAATGCCATTTAGATAGCAAAATAATTATTAAATATTTTTCAGCCTTACTGTTATATGGAACTCAACTATTCTTTGGTTGTATTGCACTCACATAAATTATCGGTGTTTTATTCCTCAATCGTATCTCTAAAATAATCAGTAAATAATATTCAGCCGAAACAAGCAATCATATAGCAAAATGAAACTCATTTCCATTAACCACAAGTTTGTACGGAGTTTTACTTCACATCACTTCACACGGAAGGACATCTCAAGGGAAGCATTCTGAAGTTTTCATCATGTACTTAGCGTTTTACTTGNTTTTACTTGTTATAGTTCAATATCTACATAGGGACTGAAGGTTTTATGCGTGAGTAGTACCCAGTTTGTACTTTCAACGCCATATGTTATCGGAAACAAAATTGGTTCCTCCGATCATGAAACGCTTACTGGATTGTATAAAGTTCAATCTATTATTCTCTTTCGTGTGATTGCTGCCTCGAGAAACCATAATATCAAAACAAAACCGAAAACGATGATCGTCACATTGTTTGGCTCCGTAACCTCTCAGACTCGTGTGTTTCAGCGTTGGCTACACTCCTTCAACATTCACATTTTTACTGTTATATTTCATCTGTAATGGTCAATTCTATGTAATAAATGGCACCACTGGTCGAAATCTCTCAATTTACACTCGATTCTCGACAAACAGTCGGAAGACGCGGCAGCACCAAACCTGTCTACAGTTCGTGGGTATCAATCAACCTGCTTGCACGTCTGCCAGAACTTTAGGTGAACACTGTCAGCAATATATGCATATAAATCATATCAACAGTTATGTTGCCATTTCAATCCTGTTGAGGTTAAAAGCTGGGTTTATCCAATAATTTAACAGTATTTTGCACTTTAAATATTCAAAATACACGGAAGTTTATACACTAATATTCAAAACATCCGGCAAATCTTGTGGAATTTCTGCATCTTTAATCGGTATTATAATATCGCTCGCACTCTCCCAGTCAGATAAATATTCACTTAAGCGCTCGTCAATACAACTATCTTACATCGTTATTTTCACTAAAAAGCCGAAGGTAAGATGAATGAAGGGCATGTCTGATCAATCCGTCTGTTTGTGGCGAACTGTGGTTACGCAGCCTCAAACCTGAATGTGAATATATTTACAGCAGACACCATAAGGCAAACAACTTTAGAAACATTCTCCTTATATTATTTATTCAAATAAAACCAAACTAACAATCTGATGAAGATTGATATGTGTCACCGTTTCACATGCCTTTTTATACTATCATTACAAAGGCAATCAAATCAGATAGTAATATGTTTCCATAGGTCTAGTAGAAGGCAATATATCATCTAGAGAAAATAATTAAGGAGTCAGAAATATACAAATTGCATCATGTATCGAGTGTCTAACTGGTTATGAAATGGATTTCAAACCAATTCCACTGTACCTACGAGTCAGAGCTCGCGGGAGGAATTGAATGTCTGCTTTTACCTAGAATGAACGAAAATATCCCAAATAACGTGATCTGCCTGAGACCAATCGATTCAGGGAAGTGCAATTCCACGTCACATGTTTGACGCAGAACACAATATCGAAAGCACTAAGTCGTGCAATCAGAAAACTTTGAAATCAAAATATCCTCGGATTTGACCAGATCACCAGAACTTGATGCATGCAGTGGATAGTTAGAGTTTTCTAATGCAACTGTTGGGGCTTCTGTTAATCTTTTATCGATGGCCCATTTTTCTCGCTTTTTGTTTACTCAGGCGGGTAGAATGTGGAATAAATAGCAGCTTTTTAAACACAGAGTGCTCAGATCACCATATCCCGTTTTAATGGTTTTATTACCGACAATGAAATTTTTCCGATCTACTTTTATTGCATATAGGTTTAATGTTAAAAATAAAATGCATCGTGCACGCAGTTAGTTGACCTTGTAAATCTGCATTCTGTCCAAGTTCCGAGCATTAATTTCAAGGGGCTGCTAAATTTGTTTCTTATTAGAATCCTTGAGTTCCGTTCAGTTGAGTCCGAATAATTATTAACCTTCATCTTAAAGCGGCAGTTCAGGTTGCTGTTCACTGGCTGTTCAGTTAAATATAGAAGCGGGAGGAGAAATACTGTGAGTTAAGCGACGATGGGGATACCCAAAACAATATTCATTGTAATGTATTTGACCACTAGCCATTTCAAATTCAGTGTGATTGGCGTTTATGTCACACTAGTTCTTTGGATTTATGCTTAGTTTTTTTACGTTTACTTCCATTTCGGGGTCCTTTCTCTTCATATATGTGATTTGGCATTGTAGACAATAATCAGTTTTGTCCTCTGAATAAACAGCCCAGACTTTGTGTATACAGTAAGGCTTTAGATACTGTCTTTAAATCACTCACAAGCTAACAAATTCCTCCTATTAATGATTGCAGGAAGGTGACGATTTAACCTTAGCACATTTTGTTTTCCTTAAGTTTGAGATTAATGGGTCAACAGCGGTTTGAACTCATTCTTTGTTTTCATCTTTGACGTCGTTGCTACAGCATGCCATGGTAGAATCGCACTCTAGGAGCCATTTTGCTAGCAGGCATTTAATCTATAATAATTTCTGATGTCGCAACCCCTTCGGGTTGTTGTAACGTCTGTTCAATCAAAAAAGTGTGAATTCGCACTCCAGTGCGATGATTATATATATATATATGTATATATATATATATATATATATATATATATAATATTCCTGATTTATCAGGAGAGAACTTTGATCCCAGCCCCGGTCCATCGAACAACAAAGGTAATTAAAATTAATGTCATTGTTGCTGCACCTTTGATAGGACAATTCCACCCTATCTTCTATTTTTCAGTCACGAATCCAATAGAGATGATGCTAATTGTAAGAATAACATTTACGATAACGGGGCTTTTGTGTTGCAGTGGACACAAACCGGAAACTTCTGGCAATTGTGACGAAGATTCTACGCGTGTTACATCTGATGAGTGTAGAATTCAACACGTTGTAACAACGTCAAATATGTCCCGTCCAGAGTGATATACCAGCAGACCATTTGGATGACTTCTATTTACTGGAGGAACTTAAGAACACGGAAACCGCCCGTAACTTCGTATCTCACATAAACGTGACATGTCTTGATGTGTTTAAAGTGCCGTACATTAACATAGCGATTTACTTTTTGAACAGGTCACGTGCATGTCCTCCAGTGGTGGCGAGGATGTTGCGAGTGCATTTAGGTGATGATCATAAGGTTTTTTACTCCCGGGATTTGCCGACAGCTGAACTAGATTGAAATACACGGAAGAGCACCACTTTCTTCCTCCTCAGTGACGCATAATATCCTTGGTGAGTTAATATTTTGTAAACTTAAGTTAACATGAGAACTATGTACTCAACAGGTACAATGACCAATATCTATGCTTCATTTCCGATGTTGTGTACAAAAACCACTGTGAAGGATACACACTAGAGGATGCCGTTTGCAAATGTAACAGATTCAAAGTCAAAGAATAACTTACAAGCTCGTGCTTCTCTTGTCCCATAGGATATTTATACAGATGAATTGATGCACGTCGAAAATAAAGTTACACAGAGCTCCGGGTAGGATGTAATAGAGAATGTAGGCTACAGTGAATTTGTGTTTGCTTTTAGTGGTGTACGAATGTGAGGTGTGCCAAGGTTGTGTCGAGTCTCTGCTTGAAAGATTCAATAGTGAGTGCAAAAACGACCTGAGATGGAAGGGCGTTCCAAGGTCTGCATACTCTGACAGCAAAAGACTGGCGCCGGCAATCCAGTCGACACTTGGGAATCAGTAGTTTGAAACGATGTCCCCTTAGGTATACATGTTTCGATAACATGAGCAGCGATCAACACGGATGATTTGGGTTCTGCAGTATTTGATACGTCAAAAGCAAGTCTCCTCGAGTTCGGCGGTACTGAGTAGAATATAGTCCCAATGATCGTACTCTCTCCTGATATGTCAGGTAATGCAATTCCTTGACCATCTTGGTGGCTATCCTTTGTGGACGCTCAAACATCTTGCGATCACGTTGAAGCCATGGACTCCAAGCTCTGTGTAGGGTCGAATGTACGCTGATAGCAAACGTGGGAATAGTGATGATTCCAACCGGCCAAAGACTCGCCGAAGTAAGCCGAAATTCTTCATAGCAGCGGACGAAGCCTTAGCACAATTTATGGAGCAGCTTAAATCCTCTTTAACAACAACGCCTAAGTCCTTTTCACTAGAAGTGTGTGGTAGCTGCTGATCCCCGAGGAAATACGAGAATTTTCTCTTGTGGCGCAGGGATAGGACTTTGCATTTAGAAGCATTAAATTCAATGTCATTCTCCTTAGACTATTGATAAGCTGTGTTGAGTGATTCCTGAAATGTTAGAGAGCCCTCGGGTTTTGTTGCCATGTTTTAGGTTTTGGCGTCGTCTGCAAACAGTATTGTTTTGAACCTAACACTTTCAGTAGATCATTTATAAAGGCAAACAACAGACGGAGACCGAGTATGGACCCTTGTGGAACGCCGCGGGTGGCTTTGGTAGATCCAGATTTGGAATCAGAAACACAAACTGATATGGTCCGTTGTTCGCGGAATACTTTAATCCAGTCAAACGCGAAATCTCGAACGCCATAACTGTAGAGCTTCTGCAGCAAATTTTGTGATGCACCCGATTAAATCCTTTTGAGAGGTCGAGATAAATCGCATCCACCACATCCTCTTCGTCAACTGTTTTGGTTCATTCATCTCGAATAACAAGTAGGTTGGTAGAGCAGGATCGCTTTTGCCTAAACCCGTATTGAGCTGTCGAAAGGATGTTGTATCTTTCGAGTTTATCCATCACAGAATCTGCCACAATTGACTTCATAGCTTTCGATAACACCAGAAACAAGGTAACAGGTCGGTAGTTAGCGGGGTAACTACGACAACCAGCTTTGTATATGGTCCAAATGACTTCTTGTTTCCACGATTGTGGGAGTGCTGCTTTGTCGAACATTTGCTGAAACAGAATGGCTAGCGGTTCGGATATGTGATTGGCCAAAATGATCAGAGATTTCGGGTGTATGTTGTCTGCGTCTGNTTATTTTTGCTTTCACATTTTCAGTAGTAGATGATACGTGGATCAGTGAAGGATGATGCAACCGAGGTTGTAAACCTTCAACCTGCGGTGCTGCGAAAACATTGGAATAATGAGTTTTTAGCATTTCAACTTCTTCCGTTGGAGTGGCTGCAACTCTTCCAGCGCTACTTAGTACCGGTATACTAAGCCTTTCCTTTCCAAATGGAGTTGACGTGCTTGTACAACAGCTTAGGGGTCATCCGCAAGCATCGAATAATCCCTGTAATAATTGTCATCCTTTTTTGGTTATTTTTAATAAAACCGCAGATATACTTAAACTGTTTTCTTTTATTTTCGTGCGTACAAATGATTACCTGTACAGCTGAAGGTTATATCGCTATTCATAAGGGAATACAAGTTAAGAAATAACCTCGGGCGAAATTACACCTAAAAGACCCAGGTAGTCGAGGCTTTTTCAAGCGTATACATGAATGTTCCATGTGCCATTATCGTCTGATCGAGCAAAAAACGATCCGAAATTTTATAAAGTTTAGGCTATCTGGACACCGATTTTAACCCAAATCAGTCGCGTAATTTGTGCTGCCAAAGTGGGGAACAAAAAAATCGAAAAAACCTACCTTGGAAACACGAATTACGCGACTGATTTGGGTGAAAATCGGTGTCCAGATAGCCTAAACTTTATAAAATTTCAGATAGCTTTTTTCTCGATCACACGAAAACGGCAAGTGGAACGTTCACGTTTACGCTTGAAAAAGCCACGGCACTAAAATAACCAAGGTAGCACGAGTGTACACTCTAGAGACACCGTTGAGTCACCAGACGGCAGGTCATCGAAATACAAGATTTTATGAAATAACTATTCCAAAATCGGATTCTATGTGTAAAATTACTTGAGAACTTTTCAATTTTTCTATTCCTTTATGCGTATCGCAGAGAAAAAAAGTTAATTTTATGAAAAAATCTACTTTTAAATAAGATTTTTTAGATCAGTTCCAAAGTTAAACGCGAAGTGTTTTGAGAAAATATTGTATTTTACTTACTCGTGCATATTAAAATTTTGATAGAATGATCATTCATGAATTTCATTATGCTGTACTGCGGGAACAAAAGAGCAATGGGTGGTAACTAGTAGGTGTTAGTGAACAGCGTCATAAAGAACAAATTTCGGTTTATAAAGTAAGTTTATGCGTTAAAGTGAATGTCGTGATAGACGCAGCAGTAGCTTTTCGGAATGATTCAGCAGTGAATCATTATAAGCATAGGTAGGATTAAATGAACTGCACATCTGATAACTTTTGCATAGCCAGCGAAGTACCTATACGAAAACACGATAATTCGAAGCGAATTGTTATTAGTTACTTTTATTCGGTGGCTAAGCTTAAATAGCTTAAATAGCTATGAGTTGACAATTGAAATATGGCTACCAATTTTTTATTTACCCCGACAGTCACCGAGCTTGTTCAAAAGGGTACGCAATAGTGACCGTTGGTGACTCTCAGGTGACTCAACGGTGACTACCGAGCTACTTGGGAAGAGCTTAAGCTATGCTCTTAGTTGAATTCATCTAAAGCGCTAAAGCACCAAGTATATAAAATAACATATAGCATTAATCTGAATTCATATTTGCATTCATATGTATGAATATATTTCGTAGGTTATGTTTTTTCAGATAAAGACAATTATTACCTTCATTGCAGCTTGGTATAAATCAGCTTTGTAAAGCGATTGTGCAAACAAAATTTTATATTCCTCCACATCTGGATATGTTTGCGTTAATTGTTCGTAGCAATCAGAAGCATTGACAAACTCTTGTAATTGATAAAAACAGTATCCGAGAAGTGATAAAGCTGCTCGATTTCCAGGATGCGTGAGCAACTGCTGATTCAATACATTGATGGCTTCCTTATATTTTTGCTCTTTGATGGCACTGTATATCGTTGCAGTGAACTCTCCCTCACGTATCTGACACCCGAGCATTTTCATTTAAAAGTCGTTGCAGTGAACTCTCCCTCACGTATCTGACACCCGAGCATTTTCATTTAAAAGCGTGCCTTTCTAATGTTGGTTGGTTTCACAGACTTAAACAAAACTCAGTCAGTCAGTCAGTCAGTTTGCACAGGACAGGAGATGGCCACGGCCAATCGAGCGTCCAGATTTCCTCCGGTAGTAAGCCCCGTTCCGGCCTCTACCACTGCGAGTGTTCTATATTGCAGTTCTACACGTCTTCTTCACGTCTCAGTTGTCTCCGTCTCTGTAAGGGAAGAGTCGACGGTCTGAAACTGTGTAAGTCACTCACTCCTTCCGTTTGCACAGTACAGGAGATGGCAACAGCCACGGAGTTTAGAGTTCCTTCCGTAGTCAGCAACGTGTTGGCCCCTACCAGTACATGTGTGTAGTGGCTTGAGACCGACAATGTCAGGTCAGGTCAGGTTGCACAGGACTGAGTATGGCCACGGCCAATAGAGCGTCCAGAATTCCTTCGATGGTGTGCTCACTGAGTGGGCACCCAGAACTGATGAAATTAAAATGAGAAATAGGATCTCATCTCACCAATTTGGCGAGTGAATTGTGAAGCGTCTGTTCATGCGTTTTTTTGTGCCGTTTGTTTCCACGAGTCTCTTCCTTTGAACAAAAAAACGCATGAAACCAATGCTTCAATTCCGCGGGACTGTAAGAACACACAAAAAGGAAAAACGCGTTTCTTTGATTTTCTAGACTTGTGATCTTTTTTTGGTTTTCACGGATTTTTTTGTACTTTTTTGCTATTTTCAAAACGCGGGAGGACATCAGAAACAGCGGAAAGGTAATGAAAAACACGCATGAATCGCCTAGTCACTATTCAGCGTATTCAGAAGGGAAACGAACTCTACGACCTGATCTAGTGGAGGTGCTAGTTCGTGGGGCAGAGCGTAAAGTGGCGTCCGCTGGGAGTGCTGTCGCCGGGGAAGGGATAGAAGAAGTGGGTAAAGATCCAGGAGGTCTGTAGTGACCATGATTGTACGAAGAAAAGGAGCAATCCACGAGGACGTTTTCCGTTCATATTTTCTTCACAATCAACTCTGACTCCAACTGTGGTATTTCTTTGTTTTACTTACGCTCGTTATACTGAGCACGGTTTTCCGCTCAGGCGTATATATAAGCTGGGTCCTGTTCAAACCCAGGCTACACGTGTGACACGTTTTCGCTTTGCTACTGCATTTATTGCTTGCATTGTTTAGTGTCACCTTGGCACGTTTCGGTACTATCGAGTACCACGATTCGCCAATAAACGTTTACGACTCCCACGAGTGTTTTTGTCTACCTCAGGCAACGAGACACTAGGAGATCGCGCGCATATTGAGACTCGTAAGAAGACTCACCGGCAGGCCGTCAACTCCGGTTAGCTTCAGGTTCACAGGAGGGTGTGAGTGAAGAGTCGCAAAGGGGATTGAGATAGGCAGGTTTCAGTCGATCCAGGGAAACGCTAGCCCTCTTTCCATTGCGATCGTTAATAAAACACTTGGATTCACGACGGACCACACGGACAATCGTTATTCTGCAGCCTAAAATGGGTTAATAACATTAACAATGAGAGGCATAATTACCTGGTTGCAGTTGCGTCGCGTCTTCTGTGGTGTACATAGCATAATTTGATGAAATATACGTAAAACCGTCAGGCAGAGTCAGTTTCCGACCGAACTTTCTTTCCCGTATCAGTTGTTTGGCTGTCATTGACGCAGCAACGTAGGAGTGCAAGTAACTCTTTGGAATTCACGGAATTCTTCCTAAAATCCGTCCAACGATTCATGGCACTTTTTACCATCCGTTCAAAAACGAACGTTTCGTTAGTACGAGCGTGGAAGTGATCGTCGGAATTAGGTTACGGTATTTATACTTTCTGGACAAAGTCAATTAAGATTAATTAAAACAAATTAAATTTTAACAAATCACTCAGTATTAGCCAAAATCAAATTCTGTTCCATTCCATTTGAATTCGAAATCGCTTTTTCTAAAATATATTTAGAAATCGATCGTTTTTAGGATGACACGCCACTACCCCCTTGGACTGAGTGCAGCTATAGTATTTGTTCGGTTTGGTTTTGACGTATTGGGCCAGCCCATGCTCATGTTGCCTTTTGGATTCCCGTATTAGCCTAGCCGCCTCATTTCTACACATTCTATATCGAATCCACGCCTGCTGATTCCCGGAAATTCCGTAACCAACCGCGATGCCCTGATTCTGAGATTCCCTAGAACCATATAGCCGAAATTTTTTATCAGCTTGGATGGTCCCCTAGTTTGCCGCATGCACGCTTTGATCGATATGATGACGTGGTCGCTTTTACCAAGAGGCGGATGCCACGGTAGCACCTTGAAATCATTCTTATGTGTGGTTATCACCAGATCTAGCTGGGATGGAACATTGCCCGACCTGAATCTAGTGATTTCCTTACATGTTTGCATAAGGCATTTTCATGCAATCATTTGATCTAATCCTCTTCTGGTTTTCCCCGGGTGCACAGCTCAGACTTCCAGTCAATATGTGGAAGGTTGAAGTCACAAACAATGATGCATTTGTCAGCTTCTGTAGCTATCCTCATGGAAGCACACAGCAGTTGAATATCCCCCTCAGAATAAACACATAATACGTCACCCTCCCATTGTTTCGTAGTAGAGTTTCTGCGAATAATTTGACATTTCTCGTGCAGAGTGGTCTCTCATTTTATATGATATGTGTAAATTCCAAAACGACTTGTTCTGGCTCAACCGTAGCCCGAATGTATTCGACTATTCCACGGTCGTTCTGTATAGCGTCAATGAGACCGCTGAGCAACGCGTAGCGAAATGTGAACCCCGAAGTCAGAACGATATTGATCCGCAATGTGTACGGTACTGTTTATTTCATTAGGCGAGTCAAAGAACAATATACCTTAACAATGCGTCTCCGTCGCTATACAGCCAAAAGGGTGAGTTCAAACGAATGGGTAGAGACCTGATATAAAGACGAGGAAATAAATATACAAAGAGGGAACATAAATACCTGTTAGGTCGAGCAAGGGATTCTGTTCACTTAACNACACCCTGAGCCACATATAATTATTAGTTATTAGTTATTAG